AAGAAATTCATGAAGACGTGGCATCCATGAAAACGAGAAACTAAAAACCACAACACTAAAAAAGGAAATCAAAAGGAGAAGCCCTGTAAGACCAAATGCTACCATTTGTTAAGGTCCTATGCAAATGCCAAGACTATTTTATTGATTTCTACCCTTTCTACCTCTCACCCCTGCCAGAGGTAAACACCCCGTCCTATGAATGTCCACAATACTTTATCTGCACAGTACCTTTCTAACATACTTACTTTGTACCTTTTAATATAATTAGTTACATACAGGCTATATTCCTGCCTAGGTGGTAATGATTTGGGAGACTTAATCTATACTATATCACTTTTATAGTATCCTTAATATCTACAACAGTACCTCCAAACAATATGTTAGATGATAACTACAACTTGCTTGATCTCTGCCCAGAACTGCAGTGTTGCAGTTAAACAACACAACTAAGTACAGTGGCATATGCCTCTAATCCCAGTGGCTTGGGAAGCTGAGGCAGGAGGATCACAAGTTCAAATTTAGCCTCAGCAACTTAGCAAGGCCCTAAACAACTCAATGAGACCCTGTCTCTAARTAAAATACAAAAAAGGGCTTGGGATGTGGCTCAGTGATTAAATGTCCCTGGGTTCAATCCCTGGTTTAAAAAAAAAAAAAGACCAACTCCCTCACTGAGAGAAAAGGGTACTTCTGACAAATAAAGGGGAATTGATTTAGAATCTAAGAATCAGAAAGTTAAGTGAAATTTAAAATTGTATATTCTGTGCCATATATATATATATATATATATATATATATATGAATGAAAAAGTCAAGAGACTACTAAAAGTAATATGTTTTCAAAATAACAAATTCAAGGCTAACTTTTGAATTGATACAAATTCAGCACAATCTTCCACAACTTTCTACCCAAAATCCTCTATGACGATAACTGACATACATAATAATGACATCAAGGCAGGGTAATATTAAGTGTATTAAGTGACTTATGACCATTAAAGATGAAATGCAGGACCACTTACATTAAAGACAAAGTAGGTATTTACTACTTATATTGCAAATGTAATGAATAGCTGTATAAGTTCTGGAATGCAAAAAAAAAAAAAGGTTCTCTGCTTATCCCTGAACATTTTCCTGTTCCACTGATATTTAAAACTTCATCATTAATATTCATGTTTTTTACTTAAGAGTCTAAACCAGTAGTTCTCAACCCAGGTCATTTAGCATGAGGACATTTGGAAATGTCTGCATTTTCGGTGTCACAAATTGGGGGGTTGGGGAGAGCCAAGGGTTGTTACTGGCGTCTACTGAACATAAGCCAAGGATACTACTAAACATCATAAAATACACAGGATAATACTCCACAACAAAGGATCACCCAGCCCAAACTATCAATAGTACCAAGATTGAGAAGCCCTGTTCTCAACTCTGCTAAAGTACAAAAGTATATGGTTTTTATTAATATAGACCTTAGCAAGTCTCCCATTTCAATCTACTCCAATCAGGCCTACCTTTCCTTGTACTCCTCTTCCATGATGCCACATTCAACCATCCCTTACATCCCAATACAGTTTCTCAGCAACATCTCAACCATTTAGCTATTCACTCCCTCCTTAAAACATTCCTTTCTCCAGACTTCCTTAATGTCTGTTTTCTGGTTTCTTTCTGCTTTAACTGGGCACACTTTCTTAGTCCATTTTGTTAATTCTTCATTGCTATTTGGAGATGTAATGACCTCTGTCTTCTCCCGCCCCCCCCCCACCACCACCTGTCTTTTTTGGTACTGGGGAATGAATTCAGGGGCACTTAATCACTGAGCCACATTCCCAGACCTTTTTTTTTTTTTTTTAATATATTTTATTTACAGACAAGGTCTCACTGACTTACTTAGGGCCTCACTAAGTTACTAAGGCTGTCTTTGAGCTCACAATCCTCCTGTTCAACCTCCCTTTGTCTTCCCTTCTTTATCCTCATTTTTCCCCTAGATGATCTCAGCTAGTACCATGGCTTTAACTACATTTACAGGCCAATAACCCTAAATTTAGAACTTCAGCCTGAACTTCCCCTCCCACTGAGTTTCAGAGTTATTTAACCAAATTGGATGTCTAACTGACGTGTACAACTTAACGTACCTAAAATTGATCCTTGATTCAGAAACTATTATTATTAATGTATAAATAAAGAGAAAATACATATCAGATAAATATTAACAACTGGGGAATCTAGGAGTTCATTACACAATTCTTATAGTTTTTATGTAAGTTTGAAATTAATTCATAATAAAAAGTAAAACAAGAAATGCTGATTCCTACCAGAATGCATTCTGTTCTTTTATCAGTCTTCCCTCTTTCAGTAAGCTACACCAGTTGCTCATGAAACGATATCTAGACATCATCATTGATTCATCCCTGTAAAATCATATCACATCWAATCTACCAGCAAGTTCAAGATATTCTACATGAAAAAAACTACCAAATCAGACCACTCCTCCATCTCTACTGCTACTAGCCTCCTGAATGATAAGTTTGCCCCATATTAGATTCCTAAGGCTGCTATAACAAATTGCCATAAACTGGATAGCTTAAAACAACGGAAATTGATTCTTTCATAGTTCTGGAAACTAGAAATCTGAAATCAAGCTGTCATGCAGAGCAATGCTCTCACATGTGCTCGTGCACTGTCTCTGAAAGCTCTAGGGGACGTTCCTTCCTTGCCTCTTCCTGGTATGGTGGTTGCTAGCAATCCTATTCCTTGGTTTGTAGAAGGATCACTCCAACCTCTGCCTCCCCCTTCACACAGCATTCTCCCTGACTACATTTTTCTCATAACGACACCAATCACTGGATTAGGGATCTCCCTATATCAGTATGACCACATCTTAACTTGAATTACATCTCCATTATATCCTGTTTCCAAATAAGTTCACACAGAGGGTCTGTGGGTTAGGACTTCAACATATCTTTGTGGGGAACACAATTAAATCCACAAAACCCCTTATAATCAGTTTTTAACACTTCCTATATAGGTTTTCTTTCACATAACCCTAGTTTCTCTGCTGCATTTATCTATGCCAGAAATCATTAAGTCTTCTTAATCATAAACTCCACTGAAAGCAGACTCAATCTCTACAGTCCCAGAGAGTAAAACAGACCATATAATTTTTTTCATTTTTATTAATCAAAAACACCTTTTTGCTTTCATGGTTTTAGGACTTCCTATCTCATTAAACACCAAGCTCATTCAAATACTCCCCTAAGTTTTCTATTTTTTTGTTGTTGTTATTGTTATTCATTTAAACATTTATGAGCTGGGGATGTAGCTCAGTGGGTACAGTGTTTGCCTTGCATGCATAAGGCCCTGGGTTCAATCCCCAGCACCACCCAAAAAAAAAAAAAAAAAAATGTACATTTAAACATTTAATCCAGGCTAGAGGCACAGCTCAGTGACACATCACTTGACTTGCACAAGGCCCTGGGTTTGATACCCAACACTCAAAAAAACAAATAAATAAATAAATACCTAATTCATTTGGAATTATTCTTTATTCACTTTGTATATTTGAAAAATAGGTGTCACCTCAGGTGATTACAATGTAAAAAATCTACCACCCTACAAAGTTCTGATGTACTCAACATAAGCTCACATACTTCCCCAAGACATAAGCAGCCTTCTCTGAACTGACCCCCTCTTCCTCTATAGCACAGTCTCCTGCTGCTGATTCCATCCTACCCACCCTTCTCTCACCAAAAAGCCCTAATGGACCATCTGGGCCAACTTATGCTTAAAATGTACTTCCCCATCTGCCTAACAAACTTCTATAAATTCTTAAAATCTCCAGTTGTATAGTCATCTCTCCTAGAAGACCTTTCTAACCACCATAAGTTTCTCACTTTCTTTTTTTAATCTCTACCCTAACATCCTTATACTATATAATTTATAGTAGTACCTGCCTCATAAGGGTTATGACATAATACATAAAAATTTCTTATTTAAGTACTTAGCACAGAGTAAATGCTTAAATAAAGATTAACTAATTTATTACTACAACACTAGTTTGCAATTATTTGTTCAATCTACCTTGCTGAACTGTGCCATCTTTACCAGTCTCAATGGTCTGACATACACACACTAGCATTAAGAAATGCTAAGCAAATCAATGAACAACATTTGGATTCAGGAACAACAGAAGCTGCCCTTAATACTGTGGATTCCTTCTGTTAAAAGAAAATTTATAGAGATGAAAATGAACTATTCTTCCTTTTTTATTTGGCTTAAATTTGGGAAGAGGGCCATGCAGTCTTTAACAAATTTAGCACGACAGTCTAGCTTCTCTCACTCTCCAGCCTGAGAATGATAAGTAGTCTATGACCAACACTGTACAACCTATTATGGTGGAAATTAAAACAGATAATGGCATTTTTTTAAGAGAGATAGAAGAAACCAAGACATTTTTTCTAATTTCAGAATGAGTCTGGCGCGACTTAGCTCATAACTTCACATTCACCTGGCCCTGACCCCTTCCATAAAGAAATGTGTGAAACTTCCATGATAAAATAACATTTCAATCCTGGATTGGAGGAGCCCCACGTGAGGTAAAAATGCAGGGGTTGCAATGTCTAGCTGCCTTCCCCCACCAGAGTCTCGGTCCATGCCAACTCTGGAGGACCGTGGTATTCTTGCCGTGGGGGACAGCAGGTTTTTTCACCCCAGGTTTCCCAAAACCGCCCTGCGCGGTCAGAAGCTACTAAGAACTGAGATGAACACGTCGCACAGCAGAAGAGGCGGAGAGAAGGTGAGTATACAAATAGAAAYGAAAAGCAAAGTGCAGATGACTGTGTCCCTCCCACTTCTCGTCGCTACCTAGAATTTTCTCATCTCCGGAACAGCACCCGTTTGRCTCTCTCTCTTCCTGCACTCAAAATAGTGCGGGCCAAACCACCACCCACCCACTTGGAAAGTCGCGCAGGAGGCCAGAAGGAGAGGCCGGCGCCACTAAAACTCACCGGCTCGCCGCGTGCGGCCAATTCTTTGCCGGAAAGGCCGGTCTGAAACCAAGTCACCGGGAGTCGGGTCCCCAAAGCCCACCGCATTCGAGCCCTACTACCAGGTTGCAGTTGCCGGAAACCTCAGAAACGTAACGGGCGTCCCGGCTTCCGTAGGCAGATGGCTCCTTGGCCCCGGATGTTGATATGCCACCTGCCCCGGAAACGGTGGCCGGAGGCCCGGGGGGCGGAGGCGGCGTTGCCTTGCTCTCCGGAAGGAGACGTGGCGGCGGTTAGGTCCCAGGCTCGCTGGACGCTTTGTAGTCCCGCCGCCTCCTCCTCCATCTCCTCCTCCTCCTCCTCTTCTCCTCTTTGGGCAGAGGAGGTTGTGGCGGCGGCTGGAGAAAGCGGCGGAGGATGGAGGAAGGAGGCGGCGGCGTGCGGAGTCTGGTCCCCGGAGGGCCAGTGTTACTGGTCCTCTGCGGCCTCCTGGAGGCGTCCGGCGGCGGCCGAGCGCTTCCCCAGCTCAGCGATGATATCCCTTTCCGAGTCAACTGGCCCGGCACCGAGTTCTCTCTGGTCAGTGTCGCGAATCCCGCAGCCATTTCGTCTTTCTGACGCTAAGGGTTAGACCCCATCCTTCGATTTCCTTTGCTTTTTCCTTCCCAGAACCTCTTCTGCAAGCTCCTACCTTCCCTAAATCCAAGTTTTTTCTGCCTCGTGTTCATCCATCCATTCATTCATTCATGCGGAGGTGCCCTCCATGCTAACATTAGGATCCAGCAATCACTTGCTGTCCCTTTTTTAACCCTGCCGCAGTAGACCTTGCTTCCCTACATTCCCGCCTTGTGGAAGAAGCTTATAATCCCGTCAGGCATACTTCATCTTTCCTTTGGAGAACCAGTTGCAGCTCTTCCTTCAGCAGCAGCCTTCAGTATTACCACCCTAACGACACAATCCCACTGCAAACTCGAATTCCCTCTCCTTTTCGTTCTTCCTGTCTTGCTTCCACACCCAAACATACACAAATGCGCAGCTCCAGAGGAACCTTCTCCCTTAAAAGTTGTTTCCTAAAAAGGCCATGTGACTGTGAGATGTTAACAACCCTCTATGTGGAATACCTCCTGCAGTTTTACGACTGTTACTTAACATCTCATGAGATTTTATGATGAATTTTCATACAGTGAAGCACATATTTATAATCCTACTAGAATGAAAATTCCTTTGGGGGCTAGTGGAAGGTCTTCCTGTTCACCTGTAGCTACTTAGGCTAATGAAACTTGTGCTCCTGTGATACTGTGTAGTAGTTAATTCTAACGTTAAAAAAAATCATTTCTAATTACCTTCAATCATTCAAGTTTGGAAACTGTTTTGTTATATTACCTTGTTACTGTTTCGTTGAGACATTATTAAGCGGTATCATAATACCAAAACAAGATTTACCAAGTTAAGAATTGGCAGTAGAGCTCAGTCGGAGTGTGCCTAGAATGCACAAGGCCCTGGGTTGGTTTAATCCCCAGCACCGGACAGGGAGACAGTATTTACAAGGCAAATATTATTCTAACCACTTAGCTTTCTACTTGCAAATATTCGCTTTTGCTTATACTGTATTTCACATTTGGTTTGTTTCTCCACCCTTCTGTTCCGTCCTGATAGCCCAATGATTCTCAAATTTACCTAGTAAATATTTAACTGGAAAGTCAGGTTTATTTTTGTATCAATGCAATAAACTATTGATATTCAGTATTAAAAGACCTTTTTTAAAATTTTGTTATAAGTCAGATACAACCTTCGGAGGATTGGGATAAGAATACTCTAGTCCAGTCTCGGTTGTTTTTCCAAAAAGCACACTTGGAATGAAAGTGATAAATGTTTTTTTAAAAAGTCATTAACTTTTTTTACTCTTGCACCTGTGTTTAATTGAGAACAGCATGCTCGCTTATATGCAGATCTGAAAACTTACTGACCTATATACTGGATGACTAAATCTAGCCTTTTTAGGAGTTACTACCAAATTATCATTCAGTTTTTTTTCTGGCCCTGGTGTTTGCTGGCTAAAAAGGAGTTAAGGAAAAAGATCAGTCATAGTGTATGCTATACCAGTGTTTCACATGTCTATCAACTTTATTTTGAAATTTTGTTTTTAATTACTTTTCTCTAGCAATAAGGTATAATCTAAGACTTGGGGTTAAGTCTGAGGTATTTTGAAAAAAATATAGTTATTCTTCTGTGGATGTGGCACAAGGTTGATGACCCTCATGCAGAAATAAACCTTAAGAGTCATTTTCATTGGTCTTTTTAAATTGTTTTAATACTTCTATTTAGTTGAAACAACTGCCCTCCTCACCTGGCACTGCCATTTTTTTTTAATGAGCCAGTTGGTTGTATATTTATATATAACTAAGCAGCTGTATGAACTAGGGTAAGATCCTTTGCCTCTCCACCATCTGAAATTGGAAGAGACTGGTTTAGAAGTTGTTTTTTGTTTTGTTTTGTTTTGTTTTGTTTTTTAGTTGTAGATGAACACAATACCTTTATTTTATTTATGTATTTTTTATGTGGTGCTGCGGATTGAACTCAATGTGTCACATGTGCTAGGCAGGTGCTTTACCACTGAGCCACAACCTCAGCCCTAGAAGTTATTTTATTAATCTCTAAAATTCTCATCTGCTTTAAATTATCTTCCCATCCAGATATATCAAAATAAATGTTTTATAATTCTTGCTTTCATATTTACTTAGAAATAGTATTAAGCACCAAAAAGGTATAATTTTTTTCATGTTTGTAATAACTAATAATTATGGTATTCTTTACTTACTAGTTTTTATCATCCATTTTTTGTGTATATATTTTTATTCTGAAATTGTCATCTCTATGTCATTAAAGTATTTGATTTTTTTTATTATTTCATAGAATTCATGGATTTCATCAARTTGAACCACAAAATAAATCTAAGTTTCTACTTCTACTGTTTTTATGTATGTGTGTATGTATAAAAGAATATATTCCTATTGAAAAACCTTCCCCAAGCACTAGCAAAAAATGTGACAGACTCCATGGTTAACATCATGTTATATATATTGACATGTCACTGACTATGTTTTACATCCTATTTCAGGAAAGAAAKTTTCCTTCTCATCCTCTAGCAATCTTGATTCTTACAGACCATGTCAAACATGAGGAATTTATCCCAGACAAGATATTTTTTTAAGTTCCTTTAATGTACCCCACTCTTTGATTCATTTCACCATATTAAAATTTGACTTTCTATTAAATCACTAGTAGATATTACCACTTACACTGAAATAATATCTTTTAAGTTATATTAAAAAAGTTTTATACTGTCTATAATGCTATACATTTCAAATTTTATTTATTTAGGTGTTAGGGATTGAACCCAGTGATGCTTTATTACTAAGCTACATTCCCAGTCCTTTTTTATTTTTTATTTTAATACACGGTCTTGCTAAATTGCTGAAGCTATCCCAGAACTTGCTATCCTCCTACCTCAGCCTCCTGAGTCACTGGGATTATAGGCATGTGCCACTGCACCCAGCTATAAGGAGGCATATTAATAGTAGATCAAAAAATTCTTAGAAAATCACAGGTTAGTTTTTTAGTTTTTTTTCCAGTAATTTCTATTACCAAAAAGTAGGGTGATACTAATGAAAAGTATACCTTGTGATCCGAATATATGACTCATTTCAGCAACATGTGTTGGGGCAGAATTGCCATTTGGTCTATATTACTGAAGAGAAAAATAGCCCTTCCTAAACTAATGAAAGATAAATTGTTGCATTAAGAAATGTCTTCCTGAGGCTGGGGCTCAGCCATAGCGCACTTGCCTGGCATGTGTGAGGCACCGGGTTCGATTCTCAGCACCACATATAAGTAAATTAAACAAAGGTCTATCAACAACTGAAATATATATAAAGAAAGAAATGCCTTTCTGGCACATGCCTGTAATCACATCAACTCGGGAAGCTAAGGGAGGAGGAGTGCAATTTCGAAGCTGGCCTCAGCAACTTTGCGAGACCCTATCTCAAAATAAGAAAAGGGCTAGGGATGTGGCTCAGTGGTTAAGTGCCCCTGGGTTCAATCCCTGGTATCAAAAACAAAAAAAAGTCTTCCAAACCAGGCGCGGTGGAGCATGAGTCTCTAGTCCTAGAGACTCAGGAGGCTGGGGCAAGAGGATTGCAAATTCAGTCTCAGCAACTTAGCAAGACTCTGTCTCAAAAAAAAAAAAAAAAAAAAAAATAGGGTGCCAGCATGGTGGCACAATCCAATTAACTCTAGAAGCTGAGAAAAGAGGATAGCAAGTTTGCAACCAACCTCAGCAACTTAGTGAGGGCCTAAGCAACCTAGTGAGACCCTGTCTCAAAATTGAAAAGGACTGGGATGTAGTTCAGTGGTAAAGCACCCCTGGGTTCAATCTCCAGTACCATCCCCAGTATCAAAATAATAAATAAAACAAAAAAGACCAAGAATGGCTCAGCAGTACAGTGATCCAGGTTCAATCCCCAGTACTACAAAAACTAAAAGAATTGTCTTTCTTTGCTGGAGTTCCAAAAAAGCAGTTCTCTTTTCCATTATCAGCATTGTGATGAACATTTTAATAAGCTAGTCAATACTGCTGTAGAATTCATCTGAAAATCAGAGTTGCAGGTACTTCACAAATAGACATGCATACATTTAAGTCTCTTACTGATGTCCGCCTTCACTTCTGTATATAAATGGTTTGACAAAACTCAGGCCATCCACTATGGAGTGAATGGAAAGCATGCTTTCCACAATTGATCATGTATTCTGGATATATCTGGAAAGCATCAAAAGACATTATAAACATTATGTCTTCTTTTTTTTTTTTTTTTTGGTACCAGGGATTGAACCCAGGAGCACTAAACCACTGAGCTACATCCCCATCCCTTTTTTTGTATTTGAGACAGGGTCTCACTAAGTTGCTTAGGGCCTTGCTAAGTTGCTGAGGCTGGCTTTGAATTCACGATCCTTCTGCCTTAGCCTCCCAGGCCACTGGGATTACAGGTGTGCGCCAGGATTCCCAGCAAATATCATGTCTTAACAGCAAATTATTGGCCCAAATGAATATTTATGAGGATTCCTTCATCATAAATTTGGCTTTGCAACTCTCCAATTTCTTTGATTCCATT